GATTGGGAAAAAGAAAAAAAATGTAAGTTTCAAAGCCACAAGGGATACAGTCAAAGCATTAAGTGAACCCATGTTACATTTTTATAGATTATATTTCAGATTATCACAGGGGTGAGTATGATTCCTGCCTCTCTATCATTCTCTATCTGGCCTCTGCCTTTCTGATCAGGAGATAGCAATTGGTTCTTGTTCTCTGCCTGAGCCTTAGTCTTCATTCTTATGCCCTTTGACACAAATACTTATATTTTAAGAAATCTATTTTTGTGCCTTAATTCCTTAAAAATTGACACCTAAAAAAATTGTGCATACTAGGAAAAATAATCACACAATTTACTTTGGAAGCACAATGAACCTCTGAATAGCCAAAGCAATCACTAACAAAAATAATAAAGCAGGAGGCATTATATTGCTTGACTTCAAAATATTCTATAAAGCTACAGAAATCGAATCAGCCTGGGGTTGGCATAAAAACAGACAAATAGACGGATGAAATGGAATAAAGAGCCTGGAAGTAAATCCATGCATCTACTGATTCTTGACAAAGGTGCTAAGAACACGCATGGGGGAAGGACACCTTTTTAATAAGTGGTGCCAGGAAAACTGAATATTCACATTCAGAAGAGTGAAACTAAACCCCTATCTTTCTTCATATACAAAGATCAACTTGAAATGTCTTAATTTTTATATTTGACACTTTTTTCATTTCTTGTCTCTGAGTTCTGTCTTCAAATGGGGCTGTCTATTTTGCCTGTCTCTTGTCAGTCTCTGTGTTAGGCAGGTTTTCATCACTGTGAGAAAAATAGCAGACCAGAAAAACTTAGAGAAATAGAAATTTATTTTGGTTCATGGTTCTAAAAGTTGGAGCCATGGTTCCAACCACGGTTGGCTGAGTCTATGGCTCTGGGCTCAAGGAAAGGCAGTCCATCATGGTGGAAGGGCATGGCAGAAAGGCATGGGGGAAGGAAGGCAGCTGATCTCATGTTGGCCAGAAAGCACAGAGAAAGGGAAGAGGAACAGGCCACAGAGAAGATAACCCTTTCCAGGGCAAGCCCACAGGAACACACCTCCTTCAGCCATGCCCTACCTKCCTAGAGTTACCACCCAGTCAATCCATTCAAATGAGGATGCATTACTTAGGGTATAGCTTTCATAATCTAATCATGTCACCTCTGAATATTCTGAATTAACATAGGAGATTTTGGGGGACACCTCTTATCCAAACCATAACATTCTGTCCTTGGTCCCCAAAAGCTCATGTCCATCTCATAATACAAAATGCATTTGGTCTATTTCCAAGAGTTTTCATGGTCTGAAAAGTTCCAAGATTGCCCAAAAGTCCTTGTCCAAAGTCTCCTCTGAGATTTAAGGCAAAAATCTTAGCTATGAGCCCCTATAAAAATCAAAAGCAGGTTGCATATATTGAATATACAGTGACCCAGAGTCAACATTTTAATTCCAAAAGAAAAAAAACAAGAGCATAGAAATAAGGGATAGGGGGCTGGAGATGTGGCTCAGCGGTAGCGCGCTCGCCTGGCATGCATGCGGCCCGGGTTCGATCCCCAGCACCACATACCAACAAAGATGTTGTGTCCGCCGAGAACTAAAAAATAAATATTAAAAAT